AACTTAGAAACTCAGAAGCTGATCAAATATCGGGTTAAATACCGATAGGGGGCCGATTATATCGTGCATCCCAATTTATTTATACAGGAAATATATCATTAACCTTTAACACATAATAGTTTAGTTTGCTTAAAACTCACTTTAGGTCTTCCTTACAAAGTAAAATCGGGTGCGACCCAGATTTCTTTACGTACAGCTCTCTCAGGAAGGGCCTGTAGGATAGATCTGTGTGTCAGATGTAATAGATAAATAGACTGACTCACAAACTACTGCTTAAGGTGTGTTTCTGATGCCCTGATTGGTTTTGCAGAGACAGAATCACAGCAGTCAGTCTGAGGCTGTGATTAGGAGGGTTTATTAAAAACCAGCTGATTTTAAACTGTCGTTTCCGTTTGAAACAGGCGAGCGTCTCGAACGAGGAGCTTGTTCTCACCCAAGCAGAAAGAGACCGTCTGCTGAGCGTGAGCGCCGGCCATCAGTCCTTCACAGAGGAAAGTGGAGCCCTGCAGAGCCGCCTGGCCGCTCTCACTGAGGAGCGAGATCAGCTCCAGGAGATAGTGGAGGGGCTGAGGGAGGAGAAGAAGGAGCTCCGGGCACAGCTGGAGGAAAAGATTGAAATGGTAAAAGCAGCAGCAGCAGTATTATTATTGGATGTTCCTCACCTGCTCCTCAGAAGAACAACCAATTAGAACTGAAGTGTTTATGCAGAATGAAGCTTATTTGAACCTGCAGGTCTAAATGGTCAGATTAGATTTTCTGTTTAAAGATCTGACGAGGTGGTAGCTCCTAAAGTGTTGCCAGAATCTTAGTCAGGCTTTTCACAGGTCATGTGTTGCTTTCTAGATGCAGTGTGATTTCCAGCAGCAGCAGCTCTTCTCAGGAGCAGATCCTCTGAAAGACCAGCAGGTTCTACTGAAACACTTCATCTTTTTATTTGAGTCTTGTTCTTCTGACCCCAAACAAAGTAGTTACCTGTCTGCTGTGCTATAGATCCAGCAGCTGGAGGTGGCTGAGGGGGAGAGCAACCAGATCAGGTCTCTACTTCAGGAGAAAGAAGAGCTGGTAAGCTGCTATTCACACATTTTGCTTATTTCTACTGAAATACTAAATCTTCTTTGGTCTTTGTGAGAAGAGAATGAATCAATTCAATTCTATAGCGTTAATTCAAATTGCATCACCTCAAGGCACTTTCCAGTTCACCAGATCATCCAGTCAGATTGATTCAAAGTATTCTATTTAAGGAAAACCAGCTGATTGCATCGACTCATTGACTCTTCAGCAATCCCTCACACTAAGCATGCTTGTAGTGACAGTGGAGAGGAAAGACTCCCTTTGAACAGGAAGAAACCTCCAGCAGAACCAGGCTCAGTGTGAGCGGCCATCTGCTGAGGCCCACTGGGGTTCAAGGAGACAGAAGCAGATGTCAGCTGTGTCTGAATAAAGGTGGTAGAAAGGAAGGAGGC